CCGGGCTCGCAGCGCCCGAGGCCCGCGGCCCCGCCTCCGGACTCTCAACAACGACCGCCGCCGCCCCCTGTCGGCCACCGTAGTCTGCGCGCCCGACTCCCCCTTCCCTGGACAGACCGCGTTGCGCGGGTCTTGCTCGGAGATCGCGGCCGCGCGTTGTTCCGGAGCCGCTAACTAGCGGACGAGGGCCGCACACTTCCATTTGTAGTCCGCAGGCCGACCTGAGGCGGGGCCTAGGGCGGGCGTTGGGGCGCAGAGAGCACCTGGGAGCCGTAGTCGCTGTAGGCATGCCGGCGCAGAGCACCCTGGGAGTCGTAGTCACCGCGGTGGTGCCAGCGCAGAGCATCCTGGGAGTCGTAGTCTCTGTGGGAGTACTGGTGCAGAGCACCCTGGGAGCTGAAGTCGCCCCGGGCGTGTGGGCGCAGAGCACCCTGGGAGTCGTAGTCGCTTGCTTGGTCCCGGGCTGCAGGAGGCGAGTGGGCGTTCTAGGAGCGGAGCTGCTTCCTAGCTTGGTGCCAGGATGTCCGCAAAAGACTTCAAAGACTGCGTGGCTCAACCGAGCCGGGCAGACCGCCGGAGGGCTGCACTGGCCCCCAGCGTCCTGGCAGCCGCGCGCCTCCCCTGCCCCTCGCCTGCCTCTTGTCCTACTTGTGTAAACACGGTTTCGTCATTCTTCAGCCCAGGCGAATCGTTTGGGGATGTTGATTTTTTTTGAGTCGGAGTCTCACTCTGTCGCCCAGGCTGGAGTGCAGTGGCACACAGCTCACGGCCACTGTAATCTCGACTTGCTGGGCTCAGGCGATCCTTCTGCCTCAGCCTTCCAAGTAGCTGGAACTACAGGCTTGTGCCACCACGCCCAACTAATTTTTTTATTTATTGTAGAGACTAGGTTTCACCATGTTGCCCAGGCTGGTCTCGAACCCACGGGCACAAGCAATCCTCTCACCTCCACCTCCCAAAGTTCTGGGGTTACAGCGTGAGCCACGGCACCCAGTTTAGATTATTTTTTATTTTTATTTTTCTGAGTCGAGGTCTCACTCTGTCGCCCTGGCTGGCATGTAGTGGCACAATCACAGCTCACCACAGCCTCCACCTCCTGGGCTCAGCCTCCTGAGTAGCTGGGACTACATGTATGTGCCACCACACCCAGATAATTTTTTTATTTTTATTTTTTTGTGGAGACAAGGTCTGCTCTGTTGCCCAGACTCATCTTGAATTCCTGGGCTCAAGTAATTCTCCAACCTTGGCCTCCCAAAGTGTTTGGATTACTGGTGTGAGCCACTGCGCCCGGCAGAGATATAGATTATTTATGAACTGCCTCATGCCCTACTGTCCAGCTGCCTGAGGCCTATGGCTACAGCAGTGTGTCACTCCAGAGCGTTTGTTTCAACGCATGGTAACAAACGCTCCTGCACACTAGGGCTTCACCAGCACTCTAGTTACCATCACAGAGACCCGCTTTTTTCCGACTTAGGGGGACTTCAGAAAAGAGCCAGCCAGCCCTCCCCTTCACAAGGGGTCCCATGTCTACCAACTCATAGGGCTTCCCGGTTTCCAACTCAGCTAACCTCACCAGGATGTCAGGAGCCTGGGACACCGGATTGCCCAGGACCCAAAAGCTTCTGTGCAATTGCATGGCCTGTGCAATCACTCTGTTGTTAAATGAAGCAACTGGAACAGTTGCTTGGTGCAGCCCACCTTGGAGCCTGGCATGCATCTTGCACAGGGCATGGAGTGCAAACATCCTGGATCTTGTGATGCCAGAGTTCACTGAGAACTCAGGCCTGGTTAGCCAAGAATCACCTCCACTCCTCTGGGGTGAGCAGGGCCAAGAAGCACCACCTCTCTTGAAGCAAACTGAGGGTCTCAGGCTGAGACTAGCAGCCTTTCCTATGAACTGGTCATAGCCTTCCTGCTGAGTTCAGTCCTCTTCCACTACCTCCACCAACAGTAGCCAGCAGGACTGACTCCCTGGTGACACATTCCTGCTGCCATGGGCCATCCTGGGTTGATGCTGGCTGGGCATCAGGCAGACTGGAGCTACCTGGCAATTTTCTTCATGTAGCCTGCTGAGGGAGGTTACCCTGATGGGCCAGACAGCCTCTCAAGCATGTGCCTAGGTGAGTCAGGACCAGCAATATATCCTACCAGTCTCCCAGACCATTTGTCTGTTTATTGCAGTCCATGCTTTGTGGTGGGGCCTGGGCCAGGCAGGGCTAGGCCTTTCTGAGTGTGGACTGACCCCAAAAGGAGGCCAGGTAGAAGAGTGCCCCCTTGGGATCCTGGAAAGTAGGAGCGAGCCTTGGGAGCTCTGCCGCCCCCTCCCCACTTCTAGGCAATGGGCTTGAGGTTTCCCCATGTGCCCATGTGTCCTTGCATGCATTCTGGCGATGCCACCCTCCAACACAGAACTTAGAAGGCTGGTGCAAGCCCTTGCACCAATGGGCAGAGGAGATTGATGACTTGGTCTGCCTGGAGAAGCCAAGCATACCAGCCAATGAGGAGTGAAGGGTCATGTTGGAGGCCACTTCCCAGCTCAAAGTTGTCAGCCGGCAAATGGCTGTGGAAGTAAGGTGACCAGGTGGTGGACTGGACCACAAAGAAGGAAAGACAGGTGGTGCTGTGTGAGGAGAGTGGACCCAGGAGACAATGACCCCAGTGCATAAGCACACCAGTAAGGAAGAGCTTTGGTAGAGAAGGTGACGGAGGGCAGGAATGGGGGGCCAGGGGCGGGGTGGCAGCCTGAGAGGAGGGTGAAGCCTAGCACAGATAGCTCCAGTACCCTGTGATCTAGGGTGAGGTGCGGCCCAGGGCACCAGAGGAGAGGGGAAAGGTCAGGGTATGTGAGGTTGACTGGAAATGAAGATGTGCATTTCAGGGTCTGTGAGAAATACTCTGTGCTGATCTCCTTGCTGGGAGCAATAACAATTGAGGAGAGTGGATACCAGTGAGAAGCAGGCCTAGTTCCTTACAGACCTGGTGGAATAAAGGGCTGGGAGGAGTGTGGGGCTCAGAAAGGGCCTCAGGCTGACTCCAGGGCCAAGGAGTCATGGGCAGGTCAACAAGGCTTGTGAGAAGCACAGCAAGCAGGGAGAGTTCACAGGCAATGGTGTTTGGCAGCCTGCACCAACCATTCTCTGGGGTAGAAAATTGTGTCCAAGGCTGGGAGCAATTGGGGGGCGGTTGAGCTCATCCCAGGCCTTGGAGAAGCCACCTCCATCCTTCCACCCCCAACACCCATCAGAATCCTGGAGAAGCAGACATACCAATAGCTGTGGAACCCTTTGGAAGGAGTGGGTGGCTAGGAGCCTTCCTCTCTGCCATTGCACCTGCCAAGGTGGGTGGAGTATTGGGACAGGGCTTATATCAAAGGCAGCTCTGGGTCTTTCAGTTTTAGACAAGCTGCTTATATCCCAGAGGCTCAGATTCCTCAGCTGCAGTTAAGGCAATGATACCTGCCCAGTCCAGGCACAGTGAAAGCATAGTGTCTCTCTGCAGGAGGATCCAGCCATTAACACCTGCAATTGTTATTGTTGGCAGTGTTCTCCATAAGGGAGCACCCATTCCCATCAAAGATTCCTCCAAATAGCAAGTCCAGAGGCATTGACCTACTGCTCACCTGTCTCCCCTGCTCTCCACCCCAGTGAAATCTGGGTAGGTCACACCTGCAAGGGTGTGAGCAACTGGCCCTGGCGCTAGGGCTGACCTGGTTTCACCATATGTGCCCAAAGACACTGGGCCTCTTACCTCATACCTGCCTACTTGGTTACCAGGAATCATTGCTGGGGAGAGTCCCTACCCCTCTGCTCTCCCTATCCAGCACAGCCCTGCTTTTTTTTTTTTTTTTTTTGAGTCGGAGTCTCACTCTGTCACCCAGGCTGGAGTGCAATGGCACGCTCATGGCCACCATAGCCTCGACCTACTGGGCTCAGGTGATCTTTCTGCCTCAGCCTTCCAAGTAGCTGGAACCACAGGCATGTGCCACCATGCCCAACTAATTTTTTTGATTTATTGTAGAGACGAGGTCTTGCCATGTCGCTCAGGCAGGTCTTGCACCCCTGGGCTCAGGCAATCCTCTCTCCTCCACCTCCCAAAGTGCTGGGATTACAGGCTTGAGCCACCATGCCTGGCTGCAGTCCTGCCTCTTATCTACTTGACTGCTCATCCTGTCTAGAGTCCTTGGGCTATGGGAGGCTACAGAAGCCTCTCTGCCCCTTGGGAACTTCCTTCTTGGAACTAGTCCAGTCCAATTGCCCATGAAGGCCTCCTTGGACAGTAGGGGAGCATACCAGGGAAGCCTGGGGGTCAAGATGTGGGTAGCAGCCACAAGGAAGGACCAGTCCTTAAGCCCTTTGCTGTCCCCATTTCCCCCCCAACAGCATCTCAGAGGGCTTGCTTGTGGCTATTAGGCCTGCCAGGGTAGCAGGAGCCTCTATAGGAAGATTGAAGAGTAGAAACACCGCAGGTCAGGGGACTGCAGCCCCTGCTGTACCTACCCTGGCCATTCTAGATCAGCCATAGGCAGGGCCTGACTTTGGGATGGAGCCCCTTAGCACCCCAATTCCTGGAACAGAGCAGATTCACTTGCCCTAGGGGAAATGCCACCTGCTTTGCCTTCAGACCAGTGCTCTCGTGGCTGGGCCAGACAAGCTGGCCCTCCCCAGTGTGAGAAGAGGGCCCTTTGGTGAAAAAGACATGGCTGACTTCTGCAGCACTGGCCCCTGAGGCACTGCAGGACTGGGAAGACGCCCCCAGACACCCCCAGCCGGTGTGGGCCCAGCCCAGGACACATCAACCTGACACTCCAAATTCTATCAAGAGTGGCATTTATTCTCCTCGTGGAGGTGCGGCGCTCCGGGGAGCTGGTGCTATTGTGCTTAGGAAGGAGGTCTGTCCGTCCGTCCGTCTGTCCGGCCGGCCCAGCCCCAA